GGCTATTTTGTTGATGAGTTTGCACCAAATTGGTTGAGCGGTTCTTCACGTATTACATATTTTGTAATATATTATTTCAATAAATCGCATTTCGTCAGAATGTCTTTTCTTTTATTGTCATTTGTCATTCATAATTATTGTTTTGTGTTTATAAGTGGTGAGTCTCTAAATTATCATTTGAAATACATTAAGAAGGTAAGATAATATTTTCAGCAAAATGCCACCGAAAAGATCGAATCTCAACAACGTAAGCAGCAGAGTGGCACGACGCAGACGTTTCGAAAGAGCTCATCAGTTGCCAGAACAAGTCAATACAAGAAATAGAGCTCAAAGAATTAGGACAGCAGAAGGTCGTGCACAAGAATCCCAGGAACAGCGTAGCGAACGTCTGCAGCAGAATATTACGAGAATCAGGGCGGCTCGAGATAGAAACATAGATATGTATAGTACGAGCACAAGTACGACAAAGGCAGCGGAACAGTCGCTCATTAGTTCGTACATCATTCGTTCGTCTTGCTTTTGAATATGCACCAGATATTAACTACTTTGCGCATTCAAAAATTGCTATCGGTGGAATGGACAAAGTATGTCAATATTGTCAGGCGTTTAAATTTCGGAATGAAACTGCCGGTATGTGCTGCGCAGCAGGAAAAGTCGTTTTGCAACCTCTACTTGCTCCGCCAGAACCTTTATTATCCCTTCTTGCTGGAAATTCAAATGACTCAAAATTATTTTTGCGTAAAATACGCAAATTTAATAGTTGCTTCCAAATGACGTCATTTGGGGCCACTAAAATTTGTGATCTTGCATCCGATGGACGTAATTTTGAAACTACATTCAAAATACAAGGCCAGATGTACCACAAAATTGGATTATTGATGCCTGATGATAATCCGAAATTTCTTCAAATTTATTTTATGGGCAATTGTGAAGAGCGCGTAACGACCCGATGCCAGTATCATTTTATTGAACAAGCAGAGGAAGCGGTTTAGGAGTCTATAGCGAACAAACATAGTGACAGGAGATTTTTATATATTAAGATTACTGTTGAAGGTTTAATATTTTATTTACTGACAACTCTGTAATATGCTCATTGTTTCCGTATTGTTTCCTACAAATAATATGCATGACAAAACAGTGTTTGCCGGGTCAACTATAATTAGTACGGGCCCAGCAAAGCGGGTCGGGTCTGCTAGTCTATTATATAAAACTAAGTCGAGTTTTCTGCGGGGATCAAATAACTCCAGAACGCACGAACCGATTTCCACGGTTTTGCATTCGTTGGAAAGGTCTCGGAATTTGTGATTTTTTGCAGTAAAGAAAATTCAGGAAAAATTGCAACAGAAAGCGGGAAAATCATTTTTGCATAAAGCGCCAACACTGACACATAGCATGCCATAATTCTCTACTCAGTTTATTTTATGACTAATCGAAATTGTGTTCAATTTTGAGTAAAATAAGTTATTCGTTTCATATCAGTGCAATTGGAAACCAGCATTTGTATTTAGGGTGGTAAGTTGAACTGTGTAAATTATGTGGATTAGAGGTTAAATTAACCGCTCTGCCTATAGTCGAAAATGCCTATAGCACGACGTGTGAACATCGGTCTCCGCACAAGGCATGCAATCCAGCAACAAGTGTATTCACAGAACTTAAGCGAGGAGAGACGAAATGTAGTAAGGGAAAATGCCCGATTGAGACAACGCGTGGGCACACGAATTTCAACTGGTGTGCAGCATCTAAGCGGATCCCAACCAGCGTGGCAGGCTCCTAACAGCAGCCTTCCTCGACATAGCCATCGACCTCAGGACAAATTTCAAGAATCCTGAGATAGAGTGCTAGAAAATATTCGTTATCCGAAGGTGTCGCGGGTGAGACCGTGCCCCCGGTGTTGCCCATATCCGTTTTGTCCACTGGAGGGTCCCAACAGTTGTCCTCTCAGAGCCCCAGTTCCCTACCAGGGTGTCAGGCCCGGACTACCGACCGAAATTGGTAAGGCGGATAATCAGCTTACCTTGAAAAAACCCCTTATGGCAATACCACCAACGAGACAGTTTCATCTTTCCTCCATTGTCGGAACTTCCTATTTATTGAAACCATCTTTCCGCTATTCAGTTGGTCTCTAAAAGACTTTCGGATAGGGACCACTTAGTTAGTAGTTCTTGGTGATTTTAACATCCCAGGGGCTATTTGGTCCCTAGATAATTCCATTAACCACAATACATCACAAAAAATGTGGTTTACCAAAGAACACTTCAATTAAACGGATAATTTGCCGAAGGTGGCGTAACGGAGTTCGCCTGGCTTACTAGTAAATATATAAAATTATATCTCATTTTATAGAAAATACCTTGAACTTCAAAATCCATTACAAAAAATATTAATTTGGACACGTAATAGACGATCGGACCACTTTAAAGTTAGGTTTGGTTGTGAAATATTCGCGATGCGCGTAGCTACGCTTTGCAAATGAACTCGTGTTCAAATCTTCAATTCAATTTTTAGAAAGTCCTGTTAGATTTCCAAAAAAAATTTGGTATGCTACAAAGAAGTTTGGATATTTAAGAGACAATTTTTTTACTTTTCGTACATTTTTGTTGTAATAATTTTTTTTATTTTTGGCCTTTGGGCGCAACCACTGTGCACTACCATCCATTCGGGACCACCGCTGCAGCGATGGGAATATTCTCAGCTATTGCCAGCCTGTCTTCATCCCCGATTTTATTTAATTTAATATTGGGCACTTTCGAATGGTTTAGTAAAACAAATGGTGCATCTGAGCCTTGGGAATTTGTAGCATTTGAGGCAAGCTTAGTATCCTCTTCTTCGGACTTAACCTCATATATTTCAGCGGTTTTTTTCAAGAAAAATTGCAACAAAAAAAGGGGTTAAGTTGAACTGTGTAAATTATGTGGATTTAAGGTTAAATTAACCGCTCTGCCTATAGTCAAAAATGCCTAGAGCACGACGTTTGAACATCGGTCTCCGCACAAGGCATGCAAGCCAGCAACAAGGGTATTCACAGAACTTAAGCGAGGAAAGACGAAATGTAAAGGAAAATGCCCGATTAAGACAACGCATGAGCACACGAAGATCAACTGGTGTGCAGCATCTAGACGGATCCCAACCAGCGCACTATGGTCCAGCCGACCACTTTTTTTGGCCAAAATTAATAACTTCGTCAATTTAAGAGATATCAACTTGAAACTTTACCAATCGTAAAATTATACTTATAGGATGATACTGGATCAAAATTATCCGGATCAGGAAACTATATCCTATAGCTTTCATAGGAACGACTTAGAAATTTTTAAGATAAATTCACAAAACTTCGGTTACTTCAAGATTAAGTCATTTTAACTACATTTTAAAAATTTTATAGGAATCGGATGACGAATTCCTATATTTTACATAGAAAGAATCGGAAAATAGTCCTGTTTTTCCTTATAATTGCATGAAAAGTGGGTTATAAAATCTTTCTACGATTCTATATTTTTTTTTACATTGTATTTTATTAGAATAACTATATTTGATACATTTTGTTGGATATTTATTAGTTTGCATGAGTATAAAGACGTTACTTCAGCGTTTTAATTGACATTTTCATACAAAATATAGGCATCTTTTATTGCAAATTTAAAGAAATGTGGTCAAATGTGGCATTACTCACTATATGCAAATAAACAAGAATTAATTACTCTACAACACATAATAGGTTTCAAGGTTGGACTAGGCTGGACTCACTTTAAAAAACCTTTTTGAAAATTACATTTAAAATAAAATTTTAATATTTTAGATGATAGACTTTAACACCAAATTAAAAAGACATCACAACGACTTAAAACATTTGACTATATAAAACATGTAGTACAAATCCCACTGATTCAAATTCAAGTTAAAAAATTTAACAATTATTGTTTTTTCCATGACTTTTCCTAGTTTAAGAATTGTATTAATTTTCGCACTTATAGTCTTGCCGTTCGCTCGTGTGCAATCAGCTGACTTTGGAAGACTCTTGTGCGAGAGTGGCGCCACCTGGGAAGATTTCGAGAATGGCACGTTGATGGTCACTCTATTTCTAATTAATAGAGACCAAAATAACTTTATTTGGTAAACTTTCAAAAAATGGGTTTTGGCCAAATAAAGTGGTCGACTGGACCATAGTGCAGCGTGGCAGGCTCTCAACAGCAGCCTCGCTCGACACAGCCCTCGACCTCAAGACAAATTCAAAGAATCCTGAGATCGAAAAGATTCGGTATTTGAAGGTGTCGCGAGTGAGACCGTGCCCTCCGGTGTTGCCCATATCCATTTTGTCCCCTGGGGGTCCCAACAGTTGTCCTCACAGAGCCCCAGTCCAGTTCCCTGCCGAACTTGGCAAGGCGGATAATCAGCCTGCCTTGCCAAAACCCTGACAGAAACCTGGTTAAAGCCGGAGATTCTAAGCTCCGAAGTTTTTCCAGCTGTGTTCACAGTATACGGGCTAAATCGGCCTATCAGAGAGGCGGTCGACTCCACTCACACGTCCGAATTAAGAACTTTCGAGGAATGCAACAATGTTGAATTCCTTTGCGTGAAGCTATTAGTTATTGGTAGTTCCATTTTTGTTACGTGTTCCTTCACTCCTCCATTGTCGGAACTTTCTATTTATTGGAACCATCTTTCCGCTATTCAGTTGGTCTCCAAAAGACTTTCGGATAGGAACCACTTGGTAGTTCTTGGTGATTTTAACATCCCAGCGGCTATTTGGTCCCTAGATAATTCCACTAATACACTAATAATAATACTTTTTTATGCCACATACCACGGAGCATTGAATTATTTATTGACGACATTGAAATGCTGTCTTTGAGCTTATTTTCATTCATATTTACATAAAAAATAAAAAATATTTCAAAACCTTTTAACAATTAGAGAAAGGTTAGAGAAGACAATAAATATGGGGCATACACGAGAATGTGATTAAATGTAGAAGTAGAATCGTATTACACTACTAGTCTTACCTGAAACTCTCTGTTGTATAATTCATAGCAGTTCTCAAATAGGAATTGATATGTAGATCTTAAGCAGGCTTTAACGCAGTCTTTAACCACTGTACTGGCTCTTGGGGGGCTAGATAGTTCTTGTACCTAAGATATTGTTCACGTATATTGCAAATGTTTACTATTATTCACATTAATTAATTTACCTTCATACGGAAAAATGTAATGCTGGTTAATAGATCAACTGTAGACTTCAGGTCCATTAATTTCTCAGGACTCGATGCGGGAAAGTTATTTCTGTACATGGATAAGTCTATGCGAAGAGAATTGTGCAATTGATCCAATAACTTGACAAATTTCTCCTTCTAAAAAATAGTAGCGTTGTAAAAAAGCCGTAAAATATTGATTAATATATGTGGGTCTTTAAGTTCGTAATATAACAATTTGACTGATTTCGAATTAAAGGGGGAAAAACATCTGTTTTTGTAAGTTTAATATGTAAAAATAAGAAAGGATGTATAATGAAAGGACAAATCCGATATGATATAAAAAACAAGAAAGGAAGCTAACTTCGGCACGAAGTTTGTATACCCTTGCAGATTGGTTTATATTATAGATTTAAATGCTGAAAACACTCACAAAACAAAGTTTCATTACATTTTATCTATACTTATTATGTTTACAGTTTGACAGTTACAGTTTTACATTACCAGCTTTACATATTTTATACATTTACCGATCGCTTCTATGGCAGCTATAAGATATAGTTGTCCGATTTTTATGAAATTTATACAAAAATTCTAGAATAATAAAAAAAAAGCTTATATCTCAGAGTAAATAAAAATACGTTGAAAAACAACGAAGTTATAATTTTTTCTATTACTTTTCCTATCGTTCCTATGGCAGCTATAAGATATAGTCGTCCGATTTTCATAAAATTTAAACCAAAATTTTGAAATAATACCAAAAGCTCATGTGTCAAAGTAGATTAAAATACGTTGAAAAACAACGAAGTTATAATTTTTTCGATTAATTTCCCGATCGTTCCTATGGCAGCTATAAGATATAGTGGTCCGATTTTCATAAAATTTTTACCAAAATTCTGGAATAATATAAAATGGCTATATCTCAAAAATGATGGAATAATATCGAAAAACAGCCAAGTTATAATTTTTTTTCCAAAAATTTATCGAACATTTGTATGGCAGCTATATGATATAGTCGTCCGATCCGGCCCGTTCCGACATATGTAGCAGTGAGAGCATATAGAAGACTATATGCAAAGTTTCATTCAGATAGCTTTAAAACTGAGGGACTAGTTTGCGTAGAAACGGACAGACGGACGGACAGACGGACAGACGGACAGACGGACGGACAGACGGACAGACGGACAGACGGACATGGCTAGATCGACTCGGCTATTGATGCTGATCAAGAATATATATACTTTATAGGGTCGGAAACGTCTCCTTCACTGAGTTGCAAACTTCTGACTGAAATTATAATACCCTGCAAGGGTATAACAATATGAATCGCATATAAATATATAGATAATATTGTTAACTTTATAAGGAGAATTCGACAGAAAGGTCTTCCGCGGCCAAGAAATTAGAGCTTTTCGAAAGATTCTTTTCACAACTTTGTTACATTAGGAAATATTCAAATTGATCTAATTTTTAAAACGAATTTTGAAATATTCGAATGCATTGTCGCGCAAACGCATCATAAACAAATACACAAACAAACTGAACAAATACAAAGTAATGTTAACTTCTATTACCTAACTTATTACTTATTTTACTGACAGTTTACAATTTAATATTCACAGCTCTGCATTTTTCTTTACATCAACATATTTTTTCTATGGCAGCTATATGATATTTTTCGTAAAACTAAAACCAGAATTCTGAAATAAAAACATTTTTAATTAGATGAAAATATATTGAAAAACAACAAAGTTCTATTTTCTCCGACTCATATACCATTGAGATTATCTAGAAGAGGGACTAGTTTGCTTAGAAACGAACAGACGGACAAGAATATATATACTTTATACTTTTATTCTGACTAAAGTTATAATACCCTGCAAGGGCATAAAAAGTATACTTTGCGACATCAAAGACTGTGTACACCATGCAGTTTAGATTTTTTTAACGACCCATTTCTGCGAATTAAAAACAAAACCAGCTGTCTTTTCTAATGTAAACTGATCGTTCCAATTAATCTACTGTTGAAAATCATTATTGTAAAATTGCAAATAACGTGGCTAGATCGACACGGCTTGTGATGCTGATCAGGAATAATAATACCTAATGAGAATAACTGCGATGAAAACTTCTGGGAATAAATAATAAATATAATAACGGTATAAGTTAAATAAATAAAAAAATAAAATAATTTGTTTTCTATTTTGTTATGTTGGACCTTCGGTCCAAGTTTTAAAAACCTAATTGAAAACCTATCGCTTCCGAAGATGTTTTTCCGCCTGTAATCCTATAGAAAGTATTACCCCGAAATTGCTAGCTGCAAATCGATCACTGGCAGAAACCGCTGAAGAAGCAGTCGTATGAGCATAATATGCATTAATGTTGGCCAACAAAGTGCTCATCACAGCAGGAACTCCAGGGCACAGATATTTCGCAGACAGACAATGAAAATGGGTCATTGCTTGATAAATATTCTCAATGCCGTAGCGCATCGAGAACTCGTCTACGATTTCTTCGGGAATTTCATCAAAATATAGCTTCCAGGCTTCGTCTCCCTTTTGCGTCGGCAACTTAACCTTAAATCATTGTTGTTGAAAAACTGTTTATATTTCTTGTATTAGACGTCTGAACTTACCATTCCCGTGTTTTCCTCACAAAGATAATGGAAGAGGTTCTCATGTAGGCAGGTATATTGAACGTGATATGGAGCAACCTTTTCCTCGCCCTTGATTTCAACCGATATGTGAAGTCGTATCGCCCCGGATACTGCAGACTTATCAGTACGCTTTTCCAGATTATACCATACATCCATTTCACCGGATAATGTCCGTACTTCAATTATAGTTTGACCCAAAAAATCATCAGACTCGCGTGTTAATTTCTGACGTAGCTTTGATTTTAGATCGTTGTCTTCGTCCCAAACGCGCACTTTAATGCGATCGGAAGAGTTGTGGCATTCGCTGTGTATCCAGTAACCCACATTTTATTGAAATAATGTTAAATCAGATTTCACAAAACTAAGTAAATCTATATTTCTGTCTTGGTGCAATTATTCTATAATTAAATGCACTATGTGTGCTGAAACGAATGGGTTTGCGCCCATTGAGAACGATCGTTTGTTTTTTCAAAACGATTGGCTGAGGACCGAAAATGAAAAAAAAACCGCGTAAAGTATATTTTCTTACTTGAGAAAGGAAAAAGAATCGGATGAGCAAGTAATGTAAAATTCACAACTTATACGAATAAAAGAATCATGAAAAATCGATCCATTTCGGTCAAGTAAAAAAATGTATAATCAGATAAATGTTTATAGATTTACATAGAGAAAAGTATCATCGTTTCTTCTATACTTAAGGTGTGTATTAAACAACAAGAATTACAAAAAATTCATTAACGATATTTAGACTGAGTGTTTTTGGGCGGCTATAAAACTGAATAGGAGAATTTATAGATTTTTTTTTGGGACATGTCGAGTACTCACAAGTGAAACTTCTCGTTCCACACAGGATTAAGTTCCTGCGGCATAGTTCGCGTTCTTTTTTTCACCTTGCTAACCTGCACCGTCACATATGGATCACTGGTACCGCTTTTATCCTTCGCTATCAGGCCTTGAGCACAAATCACTGTATTCAAATCACGTCAAATAGAGTTCATCAAAAGTTGATCAATTTTGTTTCGTTTCCAACACCATAATCCATCCGAAAAAGCACCAATTTAAACGTGTTTAACCAAAACCGATTAATATGAATGTTCCGTAAGTTTTGTTTAGATAAATTTGCAGTTATGGTTTTTATTTTTGTTTAATTTTATTCATAGGTTTTTGTGGAGTTTGAAACGAATAACACTCGTTGTAATATTTTTGATATTGTTATTTATGTATTTTGTTTCAATTTTTTCAGTGTTTACAATTGATTTTCAAGGGAGAAAGAAGAAGAGAAAAAACGGATGTCTTTTAAGTATTTGGATCTTTACACAATATCAGGTTTCAGCGCAAAAACAGTGCAGTGCTGCCTGACATTATCATACATCATATGTACATATATGTATGCACATACATACACACAAATAACAGTTTAATATATACATAAGTATATACAGATATGTACATATGAATTTGCGTCAGTTAGTAAGAGAGATGCAGGTGTGACACAACAGTAAGTGTTTTTGTGAACATGGGACCCAGTGTTAGACAAAGAATAATAAACACTTATTTAATTCTGTATAATTTACAATTATTTTGTGACGGGAAATAAAACAAAAAAATTAATAATCATAGTTTATATATGGTAACATATAAACTTGCCTATTTAGTCTGAAAAATAGTTCATGTAAATTATTCTTAACATTAAGTAAAAGAATTATACATTTTTAATTAAATTAAACTATTAGAAAAATAATCGATCTATTAAAATTAAAAATTAAAGCGAAAACTTTACAACTTTTTCAGCCCTGTATTTTATTTACTTAATTATTAGTAAAATAAACACAAAAATCCTATTCAAAAACAATCACAATCGGTGAGCCCAAAAAGTATTATAATATATGTAAGTAACTACCAGAGATCTGCATTAGTGCAGCGCAACTACAAGTATACCGCATACATACAACGTATTTTTAACACACCTGTCTGAAAGTGGTGTTTTAACTTGTTACTTTTCTGCGAACGTTATATGCGATGCCAAATATGAGCAACACCTAATGCTTGGTAGAATTCTTACTCACGATTCATGAGTCCCGAAAGCGGTCACCGCATACACAAATGTATACTGAGTAACAAATATTTAAAGTAATGTTTTTTAAGCGAGTAAACTTGTAGTGCTCAAAACAGGCACTAGTGCCGATCTCTGGTACATATGTACATATATGTATACTATGAGATCTGTCATATTTGGTGAAAAATTTTTAAAAATAAACAACTTATCTAGAAATATTTGTAAATTTAAAAAAATACTATAAAGATAATATAATATAAGAAAATATGATATCACGAAAAACTAGCATAAATTCATTAAAATGTTATTTGTTTCGATTTTTCACAGCTATAGCTTACAAGTAAATAAAGTTGTAAAAATAATTCGTTAGAATTTATTAAAGGACGGCAAAAATCCTCGATCAGAACCCCGCGCCCTATCCCAAGAGGAGAAGAAAAAGCTTACCTGGGCTGAGGAGAAGATCGCTGAGGGGAGGCTTCACTTCGCCAAACTCTCCAACAAGAGATCGACTGGCGGATTCGCCAAGAAGGTGGAGGACACGCTTGCCAACAAAAGGCAACGATCAGCCGAGAGCGCCTGTATGGACACACCGGAAAGCAAGCGGCCTAAGGAGGAAGGCCGTCCCCAAATGGCGAAAAAGCCCAAAAAAAAAAACCGCAAAAGTCAGTGAGGTGACCAAACGACATTTGATTGTGGCACTTATTGACAGAAGCGATGAAGCCGCAAAATGCCCAGGCGCGGTGGAAGATGGTGCATGCGCGGCACCACTGCGTATGGGAGAGCCCCGACATAAACGATAGAGGTGAGGCACTCTTAGACTTTATACTCTCAACCAACATAGGTATAGGAAACGTGGGGGGGAACAGACCTTTGTAGGTCCCACCTCCTCAAACATGCTATATCTTACACTTGAAGGGGATAAGGTACTTTGGTATCAGAATGGAGAGTTCTTGAGATACCATCCTTCTCAGATCATAATAACATACGGTTCAATACGCATTCGAAAACTCTCCGAAGCAATCAGTGTTCAGGAACCCCCGGAATACTAACTGGGAAAAGTTCAAGAAGACTATCGGGACCATATAGACTCCTTTGCGAGGACAAAAGCACCAGGACTATATGGAATATTCCCAAGCATGCTGCAGGTGACCAAGGAATAGATTACCCAATGGCTCTATGCAATATATACAGCTTGTTTAAGCACGGGCTATATCCCTATCCAATGGAGGACCTCTCGGATTGTCTTCCTGCCCAAAGCGGGAAAGTGCAGCCAAGTGAGCCCCAAGGATTACAGACCAATACGCTTCACCTCATTTCTACTTAAAACGCTGGAAAAGCTGCTGAACTTATACATCAGGAACGATGTAGGAACACTACAGTCGACCAACCAGATGCCTACATGAAGGGGAAATCAGTGGAGACGGCACTGCATTCGTTAGTAGCCAGCATTGAGAGAGCCCTCCACAATAAGGAATATGCACTCGGAGTGTTCATGGACATATCCGGCGCTTCCAACAACATTATCACGGACGCTATAATGGATCGCCTGGAAGCGACCAACACGTCCCCCGCTATCAACTTGTGGATAAGAAATATTCTAAGTTACCGGCGGGTACAATCAGATTGGGGGGGATTATTATCACGGGATTCTGGGCATCGACCCTCAGCTCGATTATGGAAACAGCACTCAGGGAGATATGTGAGTGGGCGGAGGAGGTAGGACTCAATATCAATGCGGATAAGACGGACCTCATTCTCTTCACCAAGAGATACAAAGGATCCCCCCGAAAATTAACAAAACCAAGCTGACCCCGAAAACACAAGTCAAATACCTCGGCATTGTACTTGACAGCAAGCTGACGTGGAAGGCCAATGCATCAAAGAAGATACTCAGCAGCACATGGGGCCTCTCATCCGTTTTAATGCATTGGGTCTACATATCGGTGGTGCGTCCGACCCTTCTGTATGGAGTCTTAATGTGGTGGCAAGCCATGGAGAAGAAAACGTATATAATAAGCTTATGGAGAGAACCCAGCGGCAGGCACTGCTCTGCATATCATGGGCGCTGAAGTCAACCCCCACCAAAGCACTCGAAACCATAATCGGTATATATCCCCTAGATATCCAAGCGCAACTGACAGCAGGAACGGCGGCACAACGTCTGGTTGCATCAGGAAACTGGTCGCTACAAGGATTCGGGCACAGTTCAATTGGTCGAGACATGAGCAGTACATCTGACTTCATGATACTCAGAACGTACCCGGTTGTAAACACAACAGTATTCATGGGACCAAATGACTGAAAGTCAGGCCACAACCATGCTCAATACCTCAATATATACACCGACGGCTCCAAGATGGATGGAGGAGTTTGAGCGGGCATATACTGTTCAGCCCCTAAAATGAGGCTGTCGTATAAGCTACCAAGTTAATGCAGTATATTCCAGGCGGAAGTATTCGCCATCAAGAAGGCAGCAGAGTTTGCGCAAAGCATAAACCGTCCACATGAGGCGGTCAATTTGTTCGTAAACAGTCAAGCGGCGGTAAGATCCATGCAATCATCAGAGGTCAGTTCCAAAAATGTACTGGCTAGCACGGAGTCACTAGATAGGCAGAGCACGACTAAGTAAGGATCTACAGGGTTCCCAGCCACTAAGGCATAGACGGTAACGAGACCGCGGACGAACTTGCAAAGGAAGGCATCGGACTGGCGAGTAAAAGATCGGAAAGCGTTCCTGTATGCCTAAGAGCGATCGAAAGTGAGCTAGTGAGTTGGGCTGACCCAAACGGCACATGCAGTCAATCTGGGTATTACCGACAACGCCAAATGTCGGAAATGTGATGAATCCGAGGCAACCGAAACCTTGGAGCATCTCATTTGCAAATGTCAGGCCCTAACGAGGGCAAGAATGAGATACCTAGGCTCTTCAGTTCTGGCATCGCTAGAAGATGCCTCCAGGAGGAAGACAGGCGAACTCCTTGCCTTTGCGAAAAACACCTTGATCTTCAAGGATCTCGAAACCTGCATAAATAGTCTCTAGGTCCATCCAGGAGTTTCCCCGGATAGCTATGGCCCATATTGGCCTATGTGTGGCCCCTCGAGGGCCGTCCGGATTAACCTAACCTAACCTATTAAAGGACGCATCAAATCTACAACTTATATAGTAATATTTGTTAATTTAGAAAACCATTAGTAAGATATAATCTTAGATAAGCTTTTTGGCAAAAATAAGAAATTTTATACAACACGAAAAGCTAGCATTAATTCAATACTACTATCGATTTATCACAGCTATAATTTACATGTTAATATATTGCAGTGTAAAATATGTGGTAAATATAAAAAATAAAATATAAAACACTTAGAACAATAATCGTTGTGCCTCTAAATAACATACAGGTTTCTTAACCTGCAGAAAACGATAGATATATTAGCTATAATAACTAGTAACAGTAGTTGGTGTAGGTATAGTAAATTAATAAATCTACTGATTCAGTCATCCTGCATATAAAGAACAGTATTAAGGTGGATCTTATACTTCAGCATTACATTTTCGGCAAACTAAGTATGCCAAATAAAAAAAGTTAATTAAAAAAAGACAATTTTAAATAAAAGTAAATTTCAAGGACTTTTAGTATTTGTGTGTACCTGTGATTGTTAGTTTGCATGACCATTTAGATGTTCCCTCAACAGTAGCGTGCTCAGCCTGTTCTAATGAATCTATGTGTGTGTCGGGATCCACACCGAATGTCATCCTTAAATTAAATTTGATATATGTATATATGTATATATATATATATATACACGTATTTATGTTCATTTTGTAAAATATCAAATTAAATGATTGATTACCCAACGACAGTGGCGTTTATTTTGTTGTTCTTTAACTTGATCTAAAACCCTATTTTTTCTCTAGAAAAATTTAATTTCTATTAAAAAAAACCCCCTATCGCTTAGTAAGTATTTTGTGTCGTATTTTTGTATATTATTTATATTTATAAATGAAACTCACATATAAATTGGAACCGACAAGTTTAAGCTAAAGACTTATCATGCTGTAACAGTAACGTTCTGTTATTAAACTGAGAAGCTGTTGTTTTCATATATATGTGAATTTCATTGTTACATACATGCATAGCACATACATATTATATCAGTTTGTATAAAATTAATTAACATCCAAACACATTAAATCACGCATATATTCCTAATTGATTAATAAGTAATACAGCCGTGTGTCGTCATTCAAATTGCAAATATACATTCACATTCACATTTATTTCAAACCGACAACAGAAAAATACCACGATTAGTTTGTTACTTAATTTAAATTAATTTCGTGTTTATTTAATTATTTCCAAACCTGTGATTGCTATCTTGGCAGACCATTTGCTCGTGCCATCCAAAACGCTTTGCTTAACCGCCTTCATATGACCGGTATGACTCTTCTCCTCTACGCTGAATACGGCTCTATTTGAGGATGATGGATATTATGATGCCATAGAAAATTTGGACTATTTCCTTAATTTCAAATATATATTATTTAAATGGAGGCACTATGAATTCGTTTTCGTTTAAGGCTGTTGACCCATGTGAACGTTTCAAACAATAGATTTTTTGTTTCATAAATTGCTTTCCTAACTATGTACTTTTCACTTAAAGCTCAGATGGAACCTAGACTAGGAGTCGCTCGATTTCCAGCTGGATGGAGGCAGGTTACTCCTGCAATGCGCTTCTCTCAAAACCACGTTTTTTCAACTGGTCAACACGAAATCTCGAAAACGACTTAATCGATTGTGCTGGAATATTTAGAATATGTTCAGCATGCATAAGGACACCGTATGGACTAGGTTCTTTTGGATAGGTCAAGTAGTTTTTTTAACACTGCACAGACAAAAAAAAGGAGTTTTTCGAACAAACAATAACAATTAAGTGGCGCCAAATTGGTATTTTTAAATATTTTTAAAATACCCTAGTTCATGCTAATTTCGAGTCCGGCGAGATCATAATTATATTTAGATTTTTATAATTGGCCCACCCAGGGCGCCAGAAAATCAATCATGATACTAGTATAGTACAGCGGCACCTTGTATCTCAAAAATTTATAATATTTAAAGTAACAAAACGTTAAAAACAATACTTAATTCTAAATAACAGGTAAATAATTTAAATTGCTGTCATAAGCGCTCTTTAGGAAAAATTTTCAAAATAAACGGTCCACAATCGGCCGTCACATAGGTCAACCCCCTGAATGTTTTGAACTCATACGTCCATACATATAATTAGAAAATGTTTAGATTTTTTCTTAACGTTAGAAAAGTAATGTTCTCAGTTTTAGGACATTTTTTTATTGAATTTAAGAAATATTTCAAGTATTTCATTTATTTCCATTGTAAGGAACACGTTTATAAATTTAAATGTTATTGAATTAATTTTGGGGCGAATCCCCGAAATAAACATAAAGTATGTCAAGAAAGGGAACTATTTTCGGAACACTAAAGCTTGTACACCCTTGCAGTTTTCAATATTCATCCATTTCGGTGGTTAGGTTACACATCAATCAAGATATTTATACATACATTATTTACTTTATATTTATCTTACATTTTCCTATACATTTACCGATCGTTTCTAAGGCAGCAACAAAATATAGTCATCCTATTATTAAAAACATTATACAATTTTATAAAGTATATCTCAGGTATGCAAATATGTTGAAAAATAACGAAGCTCGCAATACTTTTATTTTTTAATAGTTCCTATGTCAGCTATATAATATAGCCGTTCTATTTTTCAAAATTACGGAATTTCTACAATAGCTAAAAAGCTGAGAGACTAGTAACGGAAAGACAGCCGAACAAGTTGATGCTTATCAAAAATATATATAAACTTATTGGCGTCGGAAAAGAATCCCTAACTGTGGCATTTCGTTATTATTGATTCCATCAATCTTACATTTATATTGTTTTTAACTATAATAACAGTAACCGACCTTAAATGTTTTAACTGCAAGGATATATACTTAACCCTTTCGTGTTTCCCCAGTCTTAGGGCGTTATATTTTATTGCGATATTTTATTTTTGTTTCAAACCTATATATTGAAGAGTTTGTAAAAAATGTTACTATACACATAGCAATAAAATTCATTAGATGACGATGATCAGCAAAACATTGTGCCTCCATATATAATAGACTCTCTTAAGCGATATCCTCTTTGAATAATAACTAACTAACTGACTTTGATTTTAAATAATATTGGGATTGACTGAATTTGTCTAATTTTTATCATCATTTAATAATGGAAGGGTCAAAATCAAATAAATTTTTTAAATATTACCTAATCAGTTCGAATATCTCGGGTTTCTCTCGTTCTCGCTGCTTCATGCGATCCTTCATTGCTGTAATTATAGAATTGGCCTTGTCTTCAGCACCATGCTTCGAGCTCTTTTCAGCAGCACCTGTAAAATTTAATTTATATTTGAGCGAATTCAATACCTATATATGTAGCAAATCTCGTATTATAGCAAAGGTCTTGTTTCTTGTTTCATGTTCCGAGCTCCAGTAGTATGTTCGTAATACTCACGCTGCAGGCAATCGGCATTTAGCAGGTCCTTGCACTTTTCATGACATTTCACACCGCATTCGGTGCATCGGACACCTTGTCGTGCTATTCCCCATAATAGACCTTCGCACTCGTAGCAATACGTTGGCGACGTGGCAGTCCATAATAGAAAGTTGTGTGGCGTCGTCGAGGATATGGGATAAATGAGGGCCTGTAATGCCTTTTTGTAGACGTGCATTTTCTATTGTAATAAATATTTAAAAAATTTCGGTCATAAATATCTTACTTCTCGTTGGTAAATGTATACGAATACAAAAAGAAATTCCCATTGGGAGACCATTTTGAATTCCGACCTCCAATAGACTGTTAATAATACTTTTCAATTAAAATTTTGCTTCATTAGAGCACTATTCTGTAATGGGTCGAAATTGGTATCTAGTACAACAAAGCGTTACAATAAGCATTAGAAGAGCCATATACTCGTCTTGCTCGCACTTGAAGCTGTCAAATCTTTAATTAAATCCTTGATTAATGCGCCAGTATCATAGTAGGATTAGTATAAACAATAACAAAGTCGCAATTTATAGCTTATTTCTGGAGTCTCTCTTGAAGTATTCATGCATTTATGTATGTGGAAACTCTTAAATAGTTATTTTAAAACTTACTAATGCATACAATTTTTATAATTTACACCCAACAAATTAATTATATTTAAGTTTAATTAGCCTCTAATAAATATACTTTTTATATATATATTAGCTATCGCCCTAAGCTGGCGTCTTGTAGATTTTCTAGATCTAGAGCTCTTCTCAGCTAATGTATTACCAATGCAATGCAATGTAAAGTCCCATGGGGCACAAGTGTCATATTAGCATGAGAAGTATTTTGTACCCTGGCTTAGGCTTAAATTATTATTTTTGGTATCAATATATGCAATAGCTTACCAATTCTTCGTCATTGAGCGTGGCGCGGGGAACAGCTGATGTGAGTCCTGCATTTCGCTTCGTAGCTGCCATCGTCTAAGAAGCAGTAAAAATATGAGCTCTCAAAGAGTTTTATTGTAAATTTATTTATTATACTGGTATTTTTAGAGCTATGAAAAGCGCTTGCTTAACAAAACATTCAAAACAAATGGAAGATTAAGAATCTCAACTCTCTACTGCAATTACAATTATTATCAAATTGTATTATGCTTCAAAACTTCAACAAGCATTATGCAAATACGAATTAAAAAACTATTAACAGAATATAAAATGTAGATTAAATTAAGCAAAAAGTGCAAGAATCTGTTTTAGTTTCCTTTCCTAACAACTAGCTTTGATGATATTATTTTATGGAAAGGAATATTTCCGAATGGGATATTTCCTTTTGAGTTTAAGATTTGTTTTATATACGCATGGCAAGCTTTTTTTTCTTTTTTTTTTTTGATCTACCAACCGTCAACTGTTTATTTTCATGCAAACGCAACAGATTACATCGATCCTCCGCAAGTTGTTGCTCTGGCTGTTAGCCGTATTTAAAATTAGTTAAAAGAATCAAAAATTATCAACCTAGCCCTTTGGGAGTTCAAAATATTTATTTAATCGGTATGTGAATAAGATAAGATATAAGAATAAGACAATGAGCGATAATTTGGTTCGGTATACACCCTGAGAATCATAAATTTCCATGGGGATTAAAATAGTCGCACTAACATGTTCAATTATGCGTACCATATTAAAAAAAAATCTGCTCTCTTGGGTTGCGATTTTCTCAAACAGGCCTGCTCCAGTAATCAAAACATTTTTTTGTTTTTTTTTAATCGAAAAATCGGTGCTTCGGTTTTCGAAATCGTAAGATTTTTTTCGATTTGTAAAATGGGCATCTTTGTCTGTCCGGAATAATAAGTAAATGGCCTTTTTTTCAGGGACCGTAATCATTATAAGTAATATTTTAAAAATTACTTTGTAATGATTACTTATCGATTTTTAATTTTTTAAATCAAGACTAATAATTATTTTTGAGCAAAAAAAATAAAAATCACAAATAATCATTATGCTTGAGCAAAAAAATAAAACACAAAAATAATGATTATTCGTGATTTTTATTTTTTTGTTCAAAATAAAACTCACCAAGCAAGAACTTTTAATCCTTTAAGGATATTGCCAATATTGTCCTATGTCCTTATAAAGGGACCCTAGAGCAACAATTGACAACAACAAAAACAAAACCTGTGTTTGTTGCAATTATTTAATATTAGGTGAGTTTTATTTCGAACAAAAAAATAAAAATCACGAATAATCATTATTTTTGAGTTTTATTTTTTTTGCTCAAGCATAATGATTATTTGTGATTTTTATTTTTTTGAATCAAAAATAATGTTTAACTATTGAAGAATAAATATAACAATTAAAAATTAAAAATCATCAAGGATATTCATAGTGTATCCTTAAAGGATAAAAACGTGCTAGTCAAGCTTGTTCTATGTTGATTGGAAGTGATTGATTTATTCATTTAAAATTAGCGACAATAATCATTATTTACGGTCCCTGCTTTTTTTATATAAAATCAGATCTTATTTACTAATCGAAAAAATAATTTATTCAGTTGTTTATTGATGTTTATTATACTTCACCACAAGATCATTTTGACTTTTTTTATTATTAACAATTTATTTATGAACCCACCTCAGATTTTACAAAATAAATTTGTGGCGTGTTCAACACGAGGGGTCGATAATTTTGTTTTGTTGTTGGCGAAACGAAACAGCCGGGTAAAAATACTTATCAAATAAAAAAGAATACATTAATAACTTTAAAGTAGGTCCAAAAATGTTGTTTTAAATGCTATTTAATTTAATTACTTAAATGGTCAAAATTGACCAAAAAGTAATTGAGGTCACCGGAATTAAAACTGTGAAAAATGTGGCAGCATCTAGATGCCTAGATTTTCTCAACTCCAGCTATTTGTACCTCCTCAGTCAGCTGGTTGAGCAGTAAGAAAACGAAACATTCCGATACCAAAAATTTGTCGAAAACCGGAGCAACTAAACACTAATTCGTACGATATCGCCCAAAACGAAATCGAAAAAATACAACTTAAGCGAAGTATTTTTTACAATATACTATTAAAATCGTTTTTTTTCCTACGGCTAAGGTACAGTTTAAAATCCTAACACAAAATTTATATTTCTTCACTTCTGCTGTATTTAAACTTCTCAAAAGATTTCGGTGTATCTCCAAAAAAAATAAAAGGTTTAATTAATTATTAGTATTATTATTTTTGTATTATTTGGTTTTGTTTTTAAAACTACAATTATTATTTATTCGATCGTAAATACTGTTTATTGATTTATTTTTTACACCGCACAAGATTTTTAGTATATTGTGAACGTTATTCAAAAAATCATTTATGACTTGTAAAGCTACTTAGTAAGTACTTCTGGGCAATCTATAAAATAATCAGCCAACCTACCTTTTTATTTGTTTGCATACTTGTGCAAGGGAAATTATATATATTTAACTTATTTTGCAACGCAGTAAAAGAAACATATAAAGTATGTATGTATATGTATTCTTTATGAGTATAAAATTCGAACACTAGTCTCTAAGTCTTAGAGCTATGTGAATATAACTTTTCAGGTAGTGGTATATGATTATGTTGTTAGTATAAATATCGGAACAGGCCTGATAAGAGTTCTGGCTGTCAAGAAATAAACGGAAAATTGTTAACTGCAAATTTATATAAACGTCGGCTTGCCGAACCTAGTTTTCTTTCATGGATTCCACTACAGTGCAAAAACTACATAAATTAAAAAAAAAGACACAAATTTGCATTGACTTAAAATGTAAAAGTGAAAATTTAAACTGCAAGTATAAAATTACTATTTAAAATTTAAGAAAAACAAATGACTAAGACAAATAAATGAGACTTTTTGAATCGGATGTCTGTAGAGTATATTTATACCTTCAGAACCTGAGAACGTCCACCATTTTTAACAAGAATATATGCAAAAGTAAAGTGAAGGATAATTTATTTTGGATTCAATACGAACGTTTTTTATGGGAAAAACGACGGCATCATCAGAAAACCTATCTATATTTATATTTATTGCCTTAAGAAGGAAGGAACGGGGCTTAAAAGGACTTACCAGCTCCGAAACAAGAGGTATAGATTTACGTCTAGGCCGTATATCTGGCATACTGTCAATGTTGCTATAAAAAGGATTATCCCCGGGATGGCCATTGGTACGTATACCCACATCTCCACTTCCGACACCATTCTGAAAAAATTATATATTGTTTACATTAATAAACTTTATAAATGCTGAACATGAAATATTGTTAAAGCGGGAGTAATATATGTATCTATTAGACTTAGTGTATATAGTTTGAAAATGCGATCCATCTTTGCCAATGTCCATCTTGTCGTTAGTCTGTTAGACATCATATATCCCAGGAACTAAAAGTGCTAACTTATTGGCTGACAACAAATTACAGATATAATATATAATACAAATGTTTCCATTAATCATATGATTACCTTTTCTTTGTCTTTGTCATCATCTTTAACCTTTTCCTGATTATTTTTCTCTTCAATTTTTCGCTCTTTTAATGTTTTCAATAGTTTCCATTTACTGGCACCACCATTATCTAGCGCAAGGGAACTTTCTACCTCTGACAACTGATTATGAACTGATTTTGTTGGACTTAAGCATTGCGCAGGATACGACGAAGTAGTAATTGTGGTTCTATTTATATCATGTAATTCTACGGTATTTGGAGTTATTCCTTTTTTTTCTGCACCATCTTCTTTTTCTTTACCCGGAATGCCAGTTTTACTCATCTCATCATTAACATCGCTCAGCTCTTCTGCCGGCGAATCGGGACCAGATGTTTCGCTAGAGCCTGACGATATATTGATTGATTTATCGATTTTTTCTGATTCGGATTCGGTTGAACGCTGATTACTTTTATTTTGGGAATGGCACGATGAACTTGAACTGGCATTACTATATTTTTGGCTATCACGCTTTCTCTTCTTTTTTATCTTGGGTCTTTGGTTCTTCCTCTCAACTTCTTCCTCGTGAGAGTCCATGTCAGATGCTACAAATGGCAATTCACAGCCATTGACATCCTGCCAGGCGCTATGCATATCAAGGACAGTCGAGATTTTCTCACGATGTGGTTTTACTTTCGGAAATGCATCGATGAATGCGGATGTTGTTGTATCATCTTTAACTATACCTTCCTCTAACCGAACAATTCTTTTCAATTCACTAAATACCTCACCCATAAGCAATTTAACCTGTTCATCGGGAGAATAATTAACACAACTTTCTTTTGATCCCTTTTCAGGTTCGGGTGGCTGAAAAGCGTCGGAATTTTGAAGCAGTTGGCCAATTTGCGAAAATAAAACTTCATTGTCATTCGCAATAGGTTCATTTACGTTTTCTGAATGTTGTGCTAACCGTTGCATTTCCTGTTCCTGTTCCAACTGACGAAGCTCATAATGAAAATATTCGTCATCCGTGTCGATACTATCTTCAGTGCTTTGACGACGCGACGATGACAGAGTTCTCGTGGAATGCTGACTGCGATTGTCATCATCCTCTCGAATATTACTGTTGGGTAGATCTAAAGTCCATTGCTGCTGTGATGGGAATGTGGTAATAAGGGTGTTTCCTTCTCCGCCTCCTTCTGTGGTTTGTATTTTGAATGTGGGAATGACATTTACTTCAGCACTAAAAGAGTTCTCTTGTAGAGCGCGACTTGTGTCATCGTCGACAACCTCCTCAACATAAACTGAGCTCACTCTATGAACACACGTCGCATGTTGCGATGATGGAGTTGCTTCCAAGTGAATCTCTGGCATTTTTATAGTCTTATTTTCAACATTATAGCACATGTCATTAATTTCGTTTACAGCAATCGGTGGAACCTCAGCAGTAGTATTTGCAATTTTTTTGAGGTCACCAACAACAGCAAAAAGGTCTCTAACCTCTTGGCTTTCATCTATACCACAAGCCTCATCATCATTGCTATCAATAATATCAATTCCATATAAGGAACACCCCTCATCATTATCATTATCCAGTGAAATACAGTCATAACCGTCATTAGGTTTATCTAATTCAGTATCCGATATGCTACAGCCGCGGCTCAGGCGCAAGTTATGCCGTTTATATGTCTTTGCCTTGCGCATTATATGATTCATTTTTGATTTAAGCGATTTTTTAGGGGTATTACCAACAGCAGTATCAATATCTGATGCGCCAATAGATTCTTCGGGATGGGACAGGCGCCTTATGAACGTGGCTCCTGTTGTTGCTGTTCTTATAATACGCATTGGTAGCTTTTGCAGCCTCTTCGATAAATGCTTTTGACTACCACTTCCGCTTTCAGAGCGAATGTGTGAAATAAACGGAAATGAGCCCGCCTGGCCACGTGTCTGTTTCTTTTTTTGATTCTGATTTTTACCTTGACTTTGAACTTCAGCGGGTAATGATAGTGATCGATTTAGTTTGGCTATTTTCTTTAACTTAAGATTGTCAGATAAAATAGTGTTTAACTTGTTCCAAACTTTAACTGGCTTGCCCGCAGTTGGTACATCTGCTGGAAGTCTTTGGTGGGAATGATCAGCAGAATTGAGCTCTGATCGTCTTGATGTTGCAAGATCCACAACACCAGAATATTCCATAATATGAACAGATGGCTGGTCCTCAGAAGGAATTGGTATAGTTTTGGATTTGTAGGATTCTCTAATTCTGCCTTGACCTAAGTAATCCAAATTATTGCTGCTATTATAATTGGTGATGTAGTTTGATGAGGGATAATAAACAAGTCTATCGGTCAAATAAGGTCGTCTTAGTTGTTCCCGAGTTTCATTTAAATCAGTATTATATAGTGATATGTTTGCATGTTGATCTACTTCTTCGTTCAGGAAGCGTTTAGGTGTTTGATTTGTCAATAAATCAGGCATTCCCGCGGAATTACCAACATTTTTATCTCTTTGATTTAACTGATCCCATTCCAGCATTTCATCAACTGTTGAAAACTGTTCTTTTCCATTAAATATTGACTTGTTCTCATAGGCAGAACATATAGGTAAATTTTTTGAAAGCTCATGAATGTAGTTTAAGTTCTCCTCCGTTATTATATAATCATTAGTGATTGTTGACTTGGATCTTTGCTTATCTAATGACAATTCCAATGAATATATTTCATTATTTCTTGATTCTATAAAATAATTACTATTTTGTTTACCAACTGTTACTACCGGCGATATAATGGGTGACCAACCGCTCATTGAAGATAATCCCGAATCGGATTTTGTATATTTTTGATAATTTTGAGCTTCTACTGATTCCACATAGAGAGAAGGATTATCGAATGGAGCAGGTGGCGGAGGACTAGGACTGCCTCGAATTGAATCCATTAGAAGAACATCATCGTTGATCATGTCATTTTTGAGCTTCTCAGGATTTTGAAAATGCAACAAAAACATCATACTATTGTGACGTTCCAAGCTTCTCTTCAAGGACTTTATATACTCATCTTCGCTGTAAATGTTTTTAGAGGACATGGTTAAGAAATTAAGATCCTGCAGGTTTTCTTTGTCACTTACAATTTGTTCAATTTTCTTTTTTCGATTTATCTCAATCTCTTGGGTTTCGAGAACTTTTAATTGTTCATCCAAATCGGAGTTATTGCGTAATAAGGTTGGAATACAAGAACTCTGACTTTGTGACTGTGAGTTTAATAGAAGGGATGACTCGTCCCTCGATTTCATTTCGTCCAAGGAGCTTCCCACAAGTTTTTTTAGTGTAAGAATATTTTTACTAAACTTCTTTATAACCAAAACAAACTTTTCATCGATATTCGTTATTCCGAGTGAGCGTAATTCTTCACTTACTGTTATCGGATTAAGCAGAAGCAATGTTAAATTCTTATCAACTTGCCTGACCTTTTGAAAAAACGAATATTCTTTCCAAACGGTCTCACGAAGTTTATTTATTTGCGTTGCACTTAATGTTTGAAGTCCTGGAATTTTGTTAATTTCCTCCATTAAACTCTTTGTGATATTGTTTAAAATTATCGATGCATCATCGCCAAACTTGTTAACTGCATTTTGGTTCTCCGTTATCTCGATAAGCGATCTTTCATTATCGAATTCGCCATCGTCGTTATTATGACCAGTTGAAGCTTGTGCTAGTATAGATTTTAATTTATTTATCATATCCATTTCACTAGTATGATGCTTCTTTTTTCGATGCTTCTTGGACTCCTTTATCGACTCCTTTGTCGATATCTTTGCAGAATCTAGCAAAGTATTGCCCTTCTCCGACTGATTTCTTAAAATAAATGAGGCTTGGCATTGACCATGACTGGAATCTCCTGCTGAATTATGTAACAAGGCATCAACTTTCAATATTTCGGAACTCAATTCATTGTCCCTACAAGCTTCATTGAGTTGCTTGTAAAAGGATTCATTAACTTCATTATTACATTTTTGAGGAATCTGTATGATCGTCGTTCCTCCAGTATCTTCTATGGGCAATACTTGGTCCGAGCCGACGTCCGTTTTAGAGGCTGCTAAGCGAAAAAAATTGATATCATCCATTAGATTATCTAACTCGCTATTGGAAGACTGTCTCATTTTATCCAAGTCCTCCTTTGATTGTCCGAAATTCGTACATTTTCGGGCACTTTGAGTTTGAGCTTGTGGGGTTCCTGACGCTATCTCGTTTAAGACACGTCTCCCATTTATAAATTCCTTCATTAGCTCGCAACGAGCATTATTTGCTTGAATTTGTTGCTGTTCATATAACATTAGATCAGAATCGGAATAGAGTTTTTTCCTTGATTCTTTGAGTAATGTTTCACCCATATCTAAGCCATTTATAATATTACTTTCATGCAATGTTTCGTAACTCAAATATGGATAATTAACCATTTTAGACGATTCTAAGCCAGCACTCTGAAAAACATCAGCATCCCTTATTACGGTGAGATCCTGATCATCGTTATATTCTTGAGTTTGTAACGGTTTGATGTCAATATCTAGTGTATCTTCATCCATTAACAATTGATGATTTTCATCTTCAAAGCTATGAAATGTCTCCTGGAATTCCTGTAGAGCGTCGATATTACTTTGATTCTGCGTCTGATTTTGAATAAGTCCCATTAGATTACTAACCACCGATTGTTGTTCTAGCGATATGTTCTCCAACTTCTCCAACCGAATCCAAATCTTGCCATACTCATTGGAGAGCAAGTCCAAAGCACGCCAGGCAAACTTTAATTCGGTTTCAAGCAAACTTATTCTAGTTGCTATTTTATCCATATAATCGGATATAATATAATCCGAGTGCTGCTGCGATTGTTGTTCACTTCTTATCGATAACATGCTGCCTTTGGGATAATAATTTGTATTGTTTATCGAAGGGCTGATCGATGTGTTAACCAAAGAGTTAATCGAAGTGCTTTGCGTGGTATTATCGAGGTTTATTAATGCTTTTTTATTTGCTAGAGGTTGTTGCTTTGGTTGAGAGGATGTAGCTATATGATGATGATGAACAGGTGATGTTCTATACTCTAGCTGATGTAAGGGCCTCTCATCTGCGGAATAATTTTGGGTTTTTAGGTAAGATACCGCCATCTCGGCGGCGTTATACATCGTCGATTCTGGTTGTTGTTCTTGCTGTTGGTGTAGTCGCAATTGTTGCTTTATTTTTATTTGACTTTTAAGCGCACTTTCCGCGAATGCTAGTTGATGTTGATGTTCAAGATTATTTTTGTTATTTTCTTGATGTGAAAATTGATTTAGTGGCCGCGACGGCGTTGGCTGCTGCTGTGATGCGTTCATAGTTTTTTTTTTTTTCCTTTTTTAGTTTTACCTATTAGGTAGTTCGAAAATGAAATATTACTTGCTTGATAGCTATAGCCGAATATACATACGGTCAAGTCCAAAAAAATCTGTGTTTAATTAGCTGCAATATTGTACATGCCTATAATAAATGTACCTAAAATTTACCTATAAAGAAATACTTTCATTGTATTAATAAATAATACAAAGGCTATAACGATGTTTTTTAGAAGAAATATTTGGCAAATAAAAATTCTATAATAAATATACAATATATTAATTTCTAAAGGCTTCAAAATTTATTTTTAATTTTACAAAAAATTACTCATATATCCATTACATTTTTAAAAGTTTAGCTTGAATATGCATTTTTAAAGAGACGTTTAAAATGCAGTACTAATTTTTAATAGTTCTTTAAAAAAAAGGCTTGGTGTTCCTTGGGAGATGTCTTTTGTTGCAAACTTTTCGAAGACGAAATCACAAAAGTTCTTTAAATTTTATGTAAATCATCACAATTTTATTTGTACACGGAATTTGTACATATATGTATGTACATAAACGACACTTGTAACAACTGTTAACTATGTGAAACTTTATATTCAAATGCCTTTCATTTTGACTTAATAATTTTACATATATTGCGTATGCTAAAATAATAATACTAGCTAAGATGGTTTTTGAGAAACGCTACAAACTAAGTAATAAGTAATAGTTCTGTGTTGCTGCGTCCTAGATTGGTTTTTATGAAGTCACACGGAAAATAAGAGTGCTCCTTAGTTGTGAACGTTTACATACTAAAAACTAAAGTTTCCTTTTAGTACAAAAAGCTTTCTGAATACAGACGAGAAACACCTTTTACTGAGAGAACAACTTGAGTGTGTGCAAAAGCTTAAAGCTTCTGCGCATGTCCAGAACTTTGCTAGCAATACTAGTAGAGAAACAAATGAATACCCAACTGTGGGTGGGAGAACACATTGTGGGAACCAAAATTTATATACCCTTACAGTTGGAAATAAAATTAAAAAATTAATTATAGTGTTTCTTAGCAGCGACCTATACCTGAATATGCAAAGTTCTTCAGATTCGACGTCAAGACGGCTTCGAGGTTCGACACTAGCATAAACCAACAAAATGAACTTCAACAGACAAGTAGCAACTGTGGTTACGATCGTTTCATTGGTTCTATGCAAATCATTAGACTACGGCTAACTATCACCAATTTTCTTGGTACTTTGCCCTGCATTTGAACTAAAACCCGTTAGGAATTCTAAGCGTCGATGCGAGAGCAAAAGCAAACTTCATATTACAGTCAGACGCCAAGCTTAAAGCTAAATACATACGGTGACTTATTCCTTTTATCTGATAAGAATTTGCAATGTTTTTCAGACTCCAAGTTCAGTCAGCTTTTATTTTCAATTATTTATTGAAAAATTTTTTAGCAAACTACCTTACTTACATTTTGTTTGTTATATTTGAGAATAAGGCTAAGCTTACGGGTGCGTTCAGCGATAGATTTGCCACTTTCTAAATTATTAATGAGACCGTCATTTGGTATATCTTGGGTATATACATAGTTCCATGTATTATGGGTCAATTTTGTACATAGAAAATTCATTACAATTCGCCGTTTCAGAAAGGTTAAGTCAAGTACGTTTACCGAAGCTCAAGAAACCACTAAAATTAGGCCTCTTCCGCAAATGGAAAAAATCCCTTTATTTTTATTTTAGTAAGACCGAACTTCAAATACCCTTTTAGCTAATAATAATAGCCATAGATTTTACGAATTTGTTAAAGAAACTTTACAACCATTTTACAATTAAAAAAAAATTAAATCCGTTATTTGATTATACATTTTCAACAAATGGTATTAAAACATGATATTCCAATATCAAAGAAGTATAAAAATGTGCTCGTTACCATATTTATAGTAATTATTCAGAGCTCGTTATTTAACTACTTAATGCTGGTTACCACAGAGAATGACATTGTGTTAATTTATGTAGGTACCCGTATATATAAACATACGATTAACAGAAAATGAACTGAATAACAATAAGCTTATTTATAGTTCTTTAGAAATCTACGGCAGTTCTTCAGGTGTCCCTTACTTTATCGCATTTTTGACGATAACTTGAATTTCCGTTTTTAGGTGACTTGGTTTTTGACACCGTATCGGAAACGTCTCGTTCACTGCGTTGCAAACTTCTGACTAAAATTATAATACCCTGCAAGGGTATAAAAATGCCCTTAAACTAATATGGCAGCAAATTGGATTTCAACATTTCTATTCCCCGCCTAGCTAACCAACCGAATTTTCGGACAAGTTTTCCTGCATCGAATGCTAAAGAGACCTACAGGAAGGTAATTTACATACCATTGTTAGATAATATAATAGGTAATCTCCAAGAAAACTGATCTCAAGAAACATTGGAAGTTTTTAACTTGAATTTGTAACTACTTTCAACTAGACAGGAGACAAAACAAGAAAGGAAGCTAACTTCGGCACGCCGATGTTTGTATACCCTTGCAGATATTATTTCATTACATTTTACCTATACTTATTATGTTTACAGTTTGACAGTTACAGTTTTACATTCACACCTTTACATTTGCTCTACATCTACCGATCGCTTCTATGGCAGCTATATGATATAGTTGTCCGATTTTTATGAAATTTATTCCATAATTCTATAAAAATAAAAAAAGCTCATATCTCAGAGTAGATGTAAATACGTTGAAAAACAACGAAGTTTTAATTTTTTTTCTATTAATTTCCCGATCGTTCCTATGGCAGCTATAAGATATAGTCGTCCGATTTTCATGACATTTTTATCGAAATTCTGAAATAATATAAAATGGCCATATTTAGATATGGTGCAAAAATGTTGAAAAACAGCCAGGTTATAATTTTTTTTCTAAAAATGTATCGATCATTTGTATGGGAGCTATATGATATAGTCGTCCGATCCGGCCTGTTCCGACATATATAGCAGTGAGAGTATATAGAAGACTATATGCAAAGTTTCATTCAGATAACTTTAAAACTGAGGGACTAGTTTGCGGACAGACGGACATGGCTAGATTGACTCGGCTGTTGATGCTGATCAAGAATATATATACTTTATAGGGTCGGAAAGGTCTCCTTCACGACGTTGCAAACTTCTGACTGAAATTATAATACCTTGCAAGGGTATTATATTTACTATTTATGAACAAAATTAAACAATTTTATGTATAACAAGAAAGGAAGCTAACTTCGGCACGCCGAAGTTTGTATACCCTTGCAGATATTATTTTATTACATTTTACCTATACTTATTATGTTTACAGTTTGACAGTTACAGTTTTACATTCCCAGTATTATATATTGTATACATCGCTTCTATGGCAGCTATGTGATATAGTTGTCCGATTTTTATGAAATTTATACCAAAATTCTAGAATAATTAAAAAGCTTATATCTCAGAGTAGATAAAATTACGTTGAAAAACAACGAAGCTATAATTTTATTTCTATTAATTTCCCGATCGTTCCTATGGCAGCTATATCATATAGTCGTCCGATTTTCATAAAATTTTTACCAAAATTTTGAAATTATATAAAATGGCCATATCTAAAAAATTATGCAAAAATATTTAAAAACAGCGAAGTTATAATTATTTTTGTAAAAATTTATCGAACATTTATATGGCAGCTATATGATATAGTCGTCCGATCCGGCCCGTTCCGACATATATAGCAGTGAGAGTATATAGAAGCCTATATGCAAAGTTTCATTTAGATAGCTTTAAAACTGAGGGACTAGTTTGCGTAGAAACAGACAGACGGACAGACGGACAGACAGACAGACGGACAGACGGACATGGCTAGATCGACTCGGCTGTTGATGCTGATCAAGAATATATATACTTTATAGGGTCGGAAACGTCTCCTTCACTGCGTTGCAAACTTCTGACTGAAATTATAATACCCTGCAAGGGTATAAAAACATTATATTAACCTTTTCTAACAATATGATCGTTTTTATTTTATAAGTATTTAATATTTTAAAAAATATGATTTCGAATGCAAGATGGGTACAGAGAAGATAATCATTCTTTCCTGTTAATTATTGTAACACCGATAAATCTATAGATTATTTGGGGCGTATTTTAAGGAAGAAATGTACTAAGATGTTAGAAAGAAGTAAGAAAGATTTTGTACTCACATTTAGTTGTATGATTATTTTATTATAAGCCCAGTGCCATCGTTGCTTCGCTGTAATTTCCGATTGCCTAATAATCTGCATGTGCCCGCTCACAACTTCTTCGGTTTCACCGCGCAGCAGTAGAGGTTTCTTCTTTTGCGATATTATCTTATTTAGATCAGCGAGATCGGTCAACTGGTCATTTAATTCATCATCTCGACCTATCAGGTCAGAGTCATTCATTAAGCTTGCTTGCTCATCATGATCATGATCAATAATAATACTGTCTTGTTTGTGGAGAGATATATTTGTGGCAGCAGGGATACTGGTGGAATTAGACATGGGCGACTGTACATTAGAGTCATGGTGAACTTCCATTTTTAATAGTTGCCGGTTTTGAATAGGACCCACGCTACCACTAGAGCTTTCGTCTAGATAATTGCCGCTATCTTCTTCGCTATGATAGGTTTCGTTATCGTAAATGAAGTCATCGTCGTCATTGTCCCTTTGATGTTCTTCGTCAATGAAATCTAATGATGATTGCTTCTGTTGTTGTGCTTGATTATTTTTGTTCTTTGGCTTTTGTTGTTGCTCCTCTTGTTCGAGGTACTTGTACTCGTCCTCTTCATTAAAGTAGTCCTCACGATAGTCATAACCATTGTTGACATGCTCATAGTATCCGTTCGTGCGCTGACTCTGGTTCGAAGACGGTGTCGTCTGCCGAAGATCCATATAGTAATCATTCTGCACACTATCAATATGATAATTCGGTTCCGAATTCATTGATTGAACTGCAACCCGATCTAATAGTTCATCATCAATCTCGGACTCATCGTCATAGATCTCCGTTGGCATTTGTTTAATTAGCATAAGTCCCGATTTACCATTGATAGTGGGCAGTTTTTTGCCAGTGGCTCCCGCTAACGGCACCGTTGGAAGGATTTTTGTGCTCTGATTACCATTGGCATGGTAGGACATTGAGACCGGTTCATTGAGTTCTGTACTGAATGTACTATTATAACCATATTCCTGCATTTTCACATTACTATTCTCATAATCATCGCCAGTGGTTGAATAGTGACAGCTCGACAGGGTTGTATCTTGATTGTTTTGCTGATAAATGTAATCGAAATTTTCAATTTTGCCTTCAGGATTTGGATTAGAGGAGGTAGACAAGGCCAGACAAGTTGAATTGTTGATTGGCGTAACCAATGTGGTTGTTGTTGTCGGCGGTTTTTGCGTTACAGCTGATGCAACAGAGGATGCACCTTGATTGACAGCTTGAGTTGCTGATTGTACGGCTGCAGCGGCCTTAGTCAAAATTGAACCGAACATTCCACCAGATTTGATACCTCCTCTTTTTTGCGTAGATTCCGGGTTTACAGCTGTTTCTAAAACCAAACTTGTTTCATTTGTAATATCTCTTTGGACTGTATGATAACCATTATCTCTGTTCGATACTTCGATTAAAGTAGGAGGTTGCTCTTCCTTTAAAACATTGTCACTTTCATGATCGTAAATTCCCATATGCATTATCATTTCATTATTTAAATTCATATCATCATCGTACTTTTCATTATAAT